GTTATGGGCTTTTGGGTGGCTGCAGTAGAAAATGTGTCTTGTTCGTACGGAACAACGTGCCACACCAATTAAAAATTCATCGGCAGGGCCGGGGGCATGTTCTGCCTGGGCATAAATGATATAAATGAAGCCTCCCCCGCCCCTGGTCCCGGCCGCGGCCCAGCGGCGGGCGGGGCCGGATTGCGGGGGGAACGGAAAGCACCGGCCCGGGTTTCCCGCTGTCCCGGTGCCATCCGGGGGGAAGAGTTTAGGCGGCAGCAATCCCGGGAGAGATGAGGAAGGTGGAGGTGCGCTAGCTGCTTCTCCAGGTCGCTCCCTTCTTCGCCCCCGGTCGCTGCCCCTTCCCTGGGCCGAGCCCCGGGGCACCGCGGGGCCGGGCCGGGCCGGGGGGGTCTCCGTGCGCGGGGGAAGGCGCGGCGGGGCCGGGCGGCCGCGGGCCCAGCAGGGACCCGCTGAGGGAGAGCCGGCCCGGGGCGGGGATGCTGCTGATATGTGTGTGTGTGTGTATGTATGTCTGTGTGTATGTATGTATATATGTGCGCAAGGGCCGCCTCGACACCTGCTCTTAGGTTTCTGACTGGATTTACGTGAGTCCTGCTGGGGGAGTGTGGGTGACACGCAGGGGTCTCAGGCCCCTGAAGCAGAACGTACGTTTGTTCTTAAACCAGCCCTGCTTCACCATCATACATCTTTTACTTTGGGTGGCTTCAGGAAGTGTATGGGATAGTTACAAGGAAAAGAGGCGAGAATAAAGGGTGTTAACTTTGAGGAGCCACAATGCCTGTTGTTGATTTCTGTGTTAGCGGTGGGTTAAGGTTCCATTTCTGATGTGATTTGTTCTCCCATTGTAGCAATCCAAACTTTTCTCTCGGGAGAGCTGGTGAGGAAATCCAGCGGGCAAAATGTTTGTCTTGGTGCTCAGGTTCCTCTCTCTGGCATGCTGTTTCATAAATCAGCAGCTAGATTTTCGCTTTCTTTTTGAGTCATTAGTGTTATCTGAGGCACCTTATGTTTCTTCACATACCTATTATTATAATTTGTTTTCTTATATAATTGTTTCTGGGAGGTTATAAGCCTTAGTGTGCCTCAAGGATTTGAAGATATATTAATAATGCAGAAGAATCCTCCCTGGAAAATTTTGAAATATATTGAATTTTCAATTCCTAAATGTCTTGTTTTGAATTACAATAAGGAGTCACCAAAAAACAATACAAGAATATATTCTCTTATATAGGGTCAGCTGTATGAGTGTGGGAATTTGAGAAATGTTTGTACAACCTGCTTTGGAGACCTCCAATGTAGGCAGAGCAATCTCCCCATATAACTTATTTGTATGCTCATTAAGAAACACTTTGCAGCTGTAAGGACAATAATATACTTGAATTCTTTCTATGGTAATTTGAAGCCATTTTCATTCACAACAATAAATGGTTTGGGGAACAGCTTATTTCTGTTTCCCTTAAAAGTGATTCTTCTGCTTTGTCTTGCAGTGTGTGTGGGTGTTATTTTTTTAATTGTGTCTCCTCTTTTTTAGCCTAAATGTTCCCAGTTACTTTAATCTTTTCTTGTATATTTTGCATTTAAGCTCAGATCATTCTTGATCCTCTTCTCTGAATTCATTCATTCTGATCAATTCATATGTTTGACTCAATTCAAAGGGCAGTGTTCAAAACTGGAGAGACTACTCTAGCTGAATTCTGAACAGTAGTAAGCAAGTAGGAAGGAAGATTTATGTCCTCTCAAAGCTTTACATCTGTTCACTCATCCTGGTATGGATGGCAGCCTTTGGCATATTCACCTTCTCTTCCAATTTAGACCCTAGGTATTTTCTGCACCAGGGGATTATTCTGTCCTAAATTGTAGATCTTGCTGTTCTTCTTATTTAAATACCCTCTTCCTGATTGGTTGTTTACTTTTCATTGGAGCTTTTTAAAAGAACAACAAAAAAACAAACAAACAACAAACACTACAATGCAAACTTTTCTGATTAGCAAAGACTGGATTTGAGTTCAGAATTTTCTTCCATCATGGTTTTGTTTTGTTGCAGCTTGCTGCCATCTGTAATATTAAGGAAACAGTTAATTATTAGACAGTACTACTTAGGAGGGTCCTCTCTGAACTTTCAGTGGCCTGTGTAACTCCTTGGTTCTGTTTTTCTGCACGACCTTGCAGCTAAGATGTCTAAGTAGAGACAAGGTAATATTAAATTGGAGCTTTGCCAGAAACCAAATCCTTTTCACATAGTGAGGTGTTTTCTAACTCTAATTAGGACAAGGCTAGCAGGAAGCAACATTCCAAGCTTGTCTTTTGCTCTTTGATCTTCAGCAGCAGCATGTTTATTCCTTAGATGTCCAAGGCACAGAGCACCTTGAAATAGCTGTGGAGATGCCTGTCCTTAGTAAATAGGATTTGAAAATATATTTGGGCCACACAGTAATGCTCTGTCTTGGCTCCTTTCTCCTTCCCTTGCATCCCCTTGGTTTAGCTTATCTGAGCCTTAGTCTTTCAGAGGGCAAGAAGATCACAGCAAGAAGCTCTACTCTGCTTTTGACACCTTGTACTACAGAGCATTTTCCTCATTCACCAGATAGAATCTTAAAAAATGTATAAGCTAAATACAAAATCCCTTGTGTAACGTGCCACAGCTGTCTCTTACTTCGGACTTCTTTTCCTTGCATGTCACTGTAGTGTTTGAGCATTTTCCTGATGTCTAAATTAGATCTGCATGACAGTATGTTAACTGAAATTCATCACTCTTTGCAGCTCTTCCTCAGGAGATTTTCTTGCCCTGCAATTGGAGGCTGCCTTGAGCTGCACAGAAACTCAGCACAGCAGAGGATCTTTTCTCCTCCCCTCAGCCTGCCTGTCTTTAGCTTCATGGTAGCACCAACTAGAAAGCATTTGGTGTCACACACTTACTCTCTCTAAACTCCCAGCATCCACATGATGTGACAACTGGGAGGAAAAGGGGGTCTCCTAAAAGTGTTGTGTTTTCTTTCATCTTCAAAAGGAGACTGAAACTGAGTAGCTGTTAAAATTCTACAGGAAAAGAGAATTGGAAAGGAAAAAATGACATTCTCAACTGCTTTATCTACCCTGAACTGTTTCAGTGAGATTAAGAAACTCCTCAGTGTAGTGACAGTCACTTCTTAGGCAAACATCCAAATGTTCCTTATTAAGGCCCACAGTTACATTGGAACATATCTGGTAGGGATGGAACAATTCTGCCTCATTACCAGGTTTTCTTTCCATTAAGCTTAAGAAAAATCTTGATTGGCCAGATATTTTCAGTCTTAGTGTATGTTTCTTGAATCTTGAACCTGGTTGTAACTTGCTTTAAAATGCAGTAGGCTTTTATTCTTTGCAGTTACTTTGAATAGACATTTTGGATACTTATGATTTTTTTTTTTATTAAAAGGACATTATCTCTTTGTGAAGTGACAAGGGTTTTGGAGGCACTGAAGAAATTAATTTTTTATTCTGTTGGTATGTTGAATGAATATTCAACTTGTAATAACCGTGAGATACACAAGATATTTCTACTAACTATAATTTGTGGTAGTTTGATATTACAACCCAAGTGCTAACTGTTATGCTCTTGCTTTAAAGTTTGCTCCCTTCATCCCTTTTGTTTTATATTGGTAATATCATAGAGGGTTTTTTATTCTGTTGTTTGTACTGTGCTTGTGGACTGGAATACTTAATCTTTCTTAGATGCTGCAATTTAGGAATGAAGTGACCAACTGAAATCTGTCCAGAGATGATTAAAAACACGGGTTTTTTAGTTTTTTTTTTTTTTTTGTGAACCTAAAAGCAATACTTAGAAAACCCCAGGATTTTCTTAGTTTCAAAACAAAAGATGAGAAAGCAGACTTTGAATACATAAAGTAATGGCAGAGAACACTGACAATAGCTTTGTAGTAAAGAAAGGCTCAGCTGGGTGGAAGGAAAAGCTTCATGAGGAGGTGAAACTTTGAAGCAGGAACCCTGCTGAGGTTAAGGAACCTCCCTCAGTCAAGTTTTTAAGACCACTTTAGAGGCTGTCGAGACATGGGTTGGCCTCACAGTGGAAGGCTTGGTTGAGGTACTTTCTAGCTATTCCTATCAATATTTTAATAACTTTTCATGCACTCAGGAACTTGCAAATTATTTTTTCTTGTTTGTAAGTCATTGAGCTGAGGCACAGTAGCTTGCCCAGCTGTATTCTGTGTTGAAAATTCAAATAAAATTAGAACTATTTCACTATTTTGGTTTAGACTAAAACAATAATTATGATGAATTATGCTGACTACCTTGGTATTCCTGATGACTTCACAGTATATGCATGGTTAGGTATCACAACCCTGATGTTCTAGCTTTATGGTGAGACAGCAAACATAGCCTGTGTTTTTTCCATGTTCTGGGAGTTGTCTTTGTTATGGTTGTAGTTTGTGGCTAGTGTGTTGCTCTTGCTGCTGGCTCCAGCATTTGCCATTGTGAGAGAAATCAAAATTGATTGTACTGCTGTGTACAGTTGATAAGATGCAGAAACATGAATAGTAAATTTAACAGTATATTGAAGCTAAGTGTTTTCTTTTCACTAACAGTGCATTCATTTAATGTATTTCTGAAGTGCAAGAAATCTTAGTTCTTCTCTTTTTCTCTCATCTTCATAAATATTATACTTGGGAGTTAGAATTACTGCTATAGAGAAGACATTACAATAAGTTCTTGAATTTTTTAAAATTAATTTAGTGTAGCTGAACTGTGTATTATTTGTAAGAACAGATGCATTTATAGCACAGATGACTTAAACTTGTTTTTCTTCTGGAAAGTAATCTAGTTTTTCTGTATCACGTAGCAACTAGTGATTACTCTGTTACAAGGAAAGTATTTTAAGCTAAATTAAATCAAGAGTGTGCTAATCTAGATACTTTTGGTATCTTCTGTAGAAAACAAGAGACAAACTTAGGCAATTGTGCATTAATATAGGCTAAATAATACTCTTTTTCTTGTTTTAGGAACCAGTGGGATTTAAGAATCTCTCCTAAGAAAATTTGCTGCTTCTACAGCTTTCCATCTTAGTGTGCACTTGATGATTTCACTTGAAATACTTATCTGAAGAAATTAAGAGTAGGCGAGGTGTAGTTACCTTTTAAAAATGTTAAAAACTCAGCATTGTGTAGCAGCTGTCAAGATACCCAAGAAAAAGCCATATATTTGTGACATGTGCTATAAACAGTTTGAAACCCCATCAAAATTAGCTAGGCATTACCTCATACATACTGGTCAAAAGCCATTTGAATGTCATGTATGCAATAAAACGTTCAGGCAGTTAGTCCACCTGGAGAGGCATCAGTTAACCCACAATCTGCCTTTTAAGTGTATTGTTTGCTATAGAAACTTCAAAAATGTAATCACTTTCTTAAAGCATCAGCAACTTCATAATGAAAACTATGAGAATGATACAAAGGAAACAGAAAACTATGTGAGTTCTGAGCAGGACAGGGTCACTTGTGGCATATTTCATTGTTCTGTGTGCTGGAAACCCTTTGCCACTGAAGAGAGGTGGATGCTGCATCAGTGTCTCAAGTCAGATCATCTGCATGGTGCCAGAAGGAGAAAGAAGAAAACTCACACTTGTGAATCGTGTAACAAGACATTTCCATCCAGATCCAAGCTAGAAAGGCACTTCCTTATTCACACTGGCCAGAAACCTTTTAAGTGTTCTTCATGTGGCAAATCTTTCAGACAGTCAACACACTTGAAAATTCATCAGCTCACACACACAGAAGAAAGGCCTTTTCAGTGCTGTTTTTGTCAGAAGGGATTTAAAATACAGAGCAAACTCATGAAGCATAAACAGCTCCATGCCAGAAATAAGACTTTCCCCAATACTGTATGCAAAGCAAAGACTCTTAAATATCCCAGACCACACAACGTGTTGGAAGGAAAATGGGATAGTTTTGAGAATGCTGATACACACAAGTCACAGGAGAATGACCCACATGATGTGCACTCAATTTATATTGTACCCTTTCAGTGCCCAGCATGTGACCAGTGTTTTGAAACAGAGCATTTTCTAAAGTTACACAAATGTTGTTATCCAAAAGACAGCAGAAGTTCAAATAATGGTACAACAGCACGCAGACACGCAGTCAACAGGAAAAATAAGAGCCTGATGAAACTGAAGCATACTGGAGGAAAGGCAACAGATTTTTCTCTGACTGACAGAAAAAAAATTAAATCAGGTCATGTTGGAAGTCCTGCCCTGGTCACAGCTAGGGAGCAGCGTTGTGATCAGCACGTGTCCGCTAAACCTCCCAAGGAGCGCCGGGGCCGGCGTGACGTGCGCAAGTCAGTTTGCAGTCGGGTGAAAAGAACGTTTGCTGTGCCATTGCCTTGGCAAGAGTACCCACAGCCTCCTGACGTGGGCAGGAATTTAAAAGATGTGCTTCCTGGTGAGAGCATGTTAAATGTTGGTGATTCACTGGATAATAAAGATGATGCTTTTTATGGTTCATCAAATGATAGTTTTTTTGATAATCCAGAAGTACTTCACTTTGCTTTTTCATCTTCTGCAAAAAATACACATAACAGACACAAAGTGTGTAAATGTGACAGATGTGAAAAAATTTTTCCATCTTCATCCAAACTTCAAAGACATTATCTTATACACACGGGACAAAAGCCCTTTGGCTGTAATGTTTGTGGGAAGGCATTTAGACAGTCAGCTCACTTAAAAAGACATCAGCTCACCCATACTGAAAAGAGAGCCTGTAAAAGCCCCGTTTGCCAGGTAGAATTTGTAAAACTGAACAAACTTTTCAACCGCCAGGGAGATCACACTGAATTTATGTCTTCTCAGCCTGTGGGTTATTCAGGTTACTCTCAAACACCTTCACAGCCATCTGGTTTTCAAGAATTTGAGCTGATTCAGTCAAACCAAGCAGCTGAAATCAAAGTTGAAATTGAATCAGGGGATTTTGTTCTTGACACCAGCAGTAGAAACCCACAGCCGTATTTGTGCAGTAAATTGCTGGAAACAGAGCAGAGCTGTTACAGCCATTGGCATGATTTTTCTGAAGGTAGTGAAAAAAGTGAAGCTGTTAACAAATTATATCAATGCAGTATCTGCTTTAAAACTTTTAAATCTCCTTCTAAGCTTGAAAGACATCACCTAATGCATGCTGGACAGAAGCCATTTGAATGTTTAGTTTGTGGAAAAAAATTCAGACAGGCCCCACATTTGAAAAGACACCACCTTATTCACTTTAAAGAGAGCTTAAAGCTTAGTTCCACTGAGGAAAAAGTAGAGAATGTATTAGTTTTATCAAAACAGGATAATGTGCTATGAAATAATTTTAACATTTTTTGGTTGCATAATTATAAAAGATTTATATTAGGCCAAACAATTAACTGAAGGGGATTATGTTTTCTATTACAGAGATGACCTGGTGAAGTTAATTTACTGTCTTCAAAACTCTACTTAATATAATTTCTGAGATATTCACGTTGAGATGTTTTTTTAAAATGCAACAAACCCACACACTCTTTGCATTCCCCTTGGCTAGATTAAATTTATAAATACACATTCATGTTGTATCAATAGCGTTGCAGTAATCTACAATGTTTCATGAATAAGATAATTATCCCTAAAACTATAAAATACTATATGGGAAAATGTAACACTTTTAAACTATCAGTAAAGACAAAAAGGTAATTTTGAGAATATGAAAAAAGGTTGTTTTACTTTCCTCTGGTTCCCCATATGTTCCAAGCAACGGATTATTGCTGTATTTATCCTGTAATTTAAAAAAAGGTGTTTTTTTATAGAAAAGAGAAAAGAGTAGAAAAAGGGGAGAAAATTCAGTGAGAAGAATGTTGGTGTGGTGTTATAGAAGATTCTATTTCCTATAGGATAGGAAAAAAAACTGCTTTGTTATTTACACTTAATGTGCTTGGAGAGCTATACATGAGGAATTAGATAATTTCCCTTTTTATATAAAATACAAGGAGATAATGCTATAATATTAGGATTTATAATCAATTTATTCATTTCACCACTTCATTAACTCTACTTCCTTGTAAATCCCTTGCCTTCTCTAGCATTTTTGGCCAATTTATGCTTTACTGAATTTTTTTTCTGTAAGAAAAGAAGACAAGAAATTAGCATTAAGGTTAAAAATGGGCTTACTCTGTTCAGTCTCCTTCTAGCATACAAAGTGAACCAGTAAAAGAAATGTTCTCTTAAGATGTGATAATAACTCAGATGAGCAGTTTTGTCAGGAAGTCATTTTCTCATTACATTAAATATAAGAGACTGAAAATTACTTTTAGCTGAAATTAAGTAATTCTGATTTTGTATTCATAGAATCTGTAGTTTTACTTTCTGGTTAGTAGATGGTTTTGTCCATTGTGCCAGTGGGGCCGGCAAGAAGTGCAAGTACAGTGGAGCTCATACATCACAAACAAGAATTAAGTTTGTTTCTTCTCTTTTGTCGCCTGAAAAACTACCTTTTAGGATACTTCCTTTGTTATGCAGCTTTGAATAGCTGAATCCTGAAGTTCTTATTCCTGTTTCTAAATTAACATGCCTGTAAGATGCATGACAATTTTTTTAGTATTTAAATAGAAACATATTTATTTAAGTAAAATGGGTTTGATTTTTTTTTATTTTTGAAATGGCATGAATGTTGTGGTATTTTGTGAATATGAAGGGTAAAAGGAGTTTTATTTTCATACATGTTATTTTCCATTTTCAGTGAGAATAAAACCAGGAAGAATACTTGGAAACAGTCTGTAGTTACTCTGCCTTTTGTATGACAGACAAATTCAGTATATTAATGATGATTATAGTTATATATTGAAATTTTTTTTTCTCCTTATGTGAATTGTTTCATATTGAAAGACAAAATGCTGTATAAAATGTTTTGAAAGCATATTGTAGAGCTTTTTTAAAATACTGGTAATAAACTATTTTATTTATATTGTACTTCCAGAGTGTGCTTCATGTGCAAACCAGATTTTTGAAACTACCTAACATTCATTATGCAGAAAAGACTGCATCAAAATGACTTTATATGATAGAACAATAGGTGTCATTTGAGATATTTTTTGTTGTAAAATATAAATATGTTCAAAGATAATGACATCTTTCTTATGGAGTTACAGTCATTTAAAAATGCTATGAGAGTAATGTTTAGAGAACACAAAACTTTATTGTCTTGAAAATACCAATTTAAGTAAAATGAAGGGAAAGTAATACAGAAATATTTTGAGGGATGAATAGACATTTGCAGGAAGTGCTACTGTCTGATGAATTTGAAAAGTAATGAAATCTTTGGGCTTGGATTTCAGTGTCACATTGTCTATCTAGCTCTCCATCCCTTCATAAAAAGTTTTGTGTCAGTATAAATTAATTATTTTATGGGGATTATTCCATAAACTACTTGGAAAGGAGTTAAATGGTTTCTAAGATTCAGGAAAGAAAAAACCCAAGGTTGAAATCCTGTGTTTTGCAGTTAACAGTGAGATTCTTCAGGTATCTTTGAGAATTTGAACTAGAGCAGTTTTCTCTGTGTTCACAGTAACACTTTTGTTGATTAGTATGTCAGACATTTTCCATAAGGCTTCGAGGCAAGTTCAAGCCATCACTCTTTAAATATCTTTGGTGGCAAAAACATTGCCTGTGGTTTTGTTAGAATGAACTGGTGACTAATAATAATAATCTGATAGTACTGAAGTAGTGGATTTTTTGAGACTATGCAGAACCAAAGCATATTCTGCAGAGGAAAACAGTTGGTCCTTCTGTGTTAACCATGAGCTCCTGCTGAGGAGAACTCCTCCAACAGCATGGGTTTAGCACTGAGGTTGTTCTGTGTGGAATAGAAGGGTCAAATATTTTAAAACAAGCAGAAAAAAATGTAAAAGGGATTTTTTTAAGACATTCAACTGCAGTACTAACTGATCACATCATACATTTGCTGCCTAGATGTGGCTAGGGATGCCTTTAAAATGTTCATGCTGCACTATCATTGCAGTGTGTCACAAATTACTGTATTAGGTTGGTCAAGGAATCACTGGCAAAGGTATCATCAAAAGCAGTTTAATGTAAAAGTGAAAGCACAACAAAGTTTGTTGGCAATGTTCACTACTAATTGGATGGTTAAAGTACACAGACAAATATTGTTGTAGTTGAGACTGAGACAATGCAAAGCCACACACTCCATTTCCAGAAGGCTTCAAACCGTTTTTATTCTAGCATGCATGTTTTTCATACATTCTTACAAAACTCCTAAGTTTACACTTTACTCATTGGTCATGAGAGACAAAGTGCTTACTGCAATAGGCAGTTGCAGGTTTCTCTTATTTATCCTTTCTTTCTTGGTTTCTATGTCAATGACCTTGGTAGAAAATTCTTTCAGGGGTAAACATGGATCCTTTTATCAAACTTTCCTCTGGCTCTGTAAAACCTCTTCCACCAAAAAAGAGTCTAAAATCGAAAATAAATCAATCTATGACTAAAATCAAACTAAAATAATCTGTGTGGATGTTGGTGACAGAAGAAGGCAAAGGATGGAAAAGGGTAAAGGATAAAAGAAATAAGAGGGACCCTCCAATTGAGTCACAAGGTTCAGATGGGGAGCCCCTTGCCCCAGACTTAGCCCCAAACTTAGCCCCAGATTTGACCAACAGTTTAAAAGCACTGAATTTAAACCATTTCCCAAAGAATTTATATAGCACCACAGTAACTCACAGGCCTAACTCACAAAACTAACATACTTCAGAATCCAAGAGCAACATTCATGGTCTGTTTCCTTCAGCAGATTCACACTCACACACACAGAGAGCTAAAGGAGTATGTCCAGGGTATATACCTGTGAAAAACCTCCCTCAAGTTCAGTGAAGTTCTCACATCAGACGCCATTGCATCTTCTCAGTGGGCAAAGGGCTACCTGGGGGAATCAGCCCAATGGTGTTCAGTGCAGTCCTCAGAGTGTAGCAAGCTTGAGAGCTCACCAGCTGAGAGCCACCCCACTCAGGGCAAGTGCTGGTTGAAGCCCACTGTGGTTCAGGAGAGCTCTAAGGGTCTCACTTAGGACTCTGTTTATAAGGTTGCTAGAGAGTTGCCTTTAGTCACAGTAACTTTTCATCCTGGATGAAATTCAGCTCAGTAACTTTCTTTGAAAGTTTGGTACAAAAAAATTGTTCCACTTGTGTTGTTATGCAGGCAACAAAAATAAGTTTCCAAGGCTGTTTGTTAAAAACCAGGAGCTTTTCAGATAACAGAAGTTCCCAGGAAGAGAGAGTGTTTCTGTTAAGCTCAGGAGTAGCTCAGCCCCACTTCATCAAGGCCGAGGCCTGAGGAGCAGTTCTGAGGTCATAGCGTGGCCCAAGGTGTGTGTGTGGGTGGCAGCTGTACCCCCACACAAGGTCTGCAGAAAGTCAAAACATACATATGTAAGTATTCCTATATGTATCTACAGCAAAATTCAAAAGAGGAAAAAAGCAATAATAAACCACAGAAAAAACTGTTTCATCACTGAAACTGCTTTTCACTCTGTGCTGGGTTTCTCACTCAGCTCTGGTCTGCTCTCACACACCCAGAGCCAACAAAATAATTAGTGAGGGAGATAAACACAAAATAAACTTGATTGAAGTTACTGACCCCTTAGGCTTCAAACCAAGATGCTGGATCTAATATTTAGTTTTTCTGACTGCCTCCTAGTATAAATGTAAAACTCCAAAAGTCATAATCTCTCAATAGTAGCTCATTTGAGTAACACTTACCTAAGTACAGCTGGATGACTCTTAAATCAATAAAGACTGTGAATTCAGTCCATCTAATGGCCCCTTGTAATGATGTTGAAAATGCCCAGACCTCCTAAATAACTGAAATGGTAATAGTTCATATTCCTAGCACAAGGTTTTGTGGATTTTTAAAGTGCAAGTTTTAACTTAATAGCCTGGTTTTACGGTCTGATGGCTGTGGATGAAATGTGTCTGAGAGGCAGTTATCATAAAGAAAATTGAAATTACAGAAGTGACTTTTCTATGCTCTCCTATAATGTTCTTTCTCCAGGTTAAGCAAATAAGTTGTATTTCTTCATATAATGACTAGTTCTGTCAAGCAGCTTTTAAACAGCTTTTTTTAAGCATCTGTTAAAAAAGTGAATCTTCAAAGTCCATGCAAGTGAAGGAGAAATCAGTCCTATGACAACAAAATGGCTCACAAGAGAACTGATATTTCCTTGTTAACTGATATTTCCTTATTGTTCTAACATGAAAGTGTCATTATGCTGAGTTATCATGGGTCTCTGAATGCTGTTGTACTTCTGCTGTCTGCCATTCCAGCTCCTGACTGCTCCCACGATATCCTTATGTGTGGCTTGACTCTTACACGCTTGACATGATTTGAGTATGTGGCTGAAATTTTTCCTCTCTGCTGGAATCCTTCCAGTGTCCCTGGTGCCAGTCTGTATGGCCCTGTAAAACCCCATCTGTGAGCTCCAGTCCAAGAGCCACAGAGCTGGCTGCTGCCCTGTGCTGCCATGGTGTGTAAAGAGTGCCTGAGGATGTGAGTGCAGCAAGAGGTGAGAAGCTGGCTGGTGATGATGCAGGCTGTGGCCTGTCATTCTCCACTCAAAGTCATTTGGGTGTGTAGGAGCACATGGATATGGTGACTGTCCAGCTTTGCCTGTGGCACTGGAATGTGCCTTGCTGACACGGTGAAGGAGGAGAAACAGAATTCTGTGGCCATTGCTATTTAAAAAAGTAAAAG